ATTCTTGCAAGTTCTGGCTGGATTTCTGTGGGAAGTGAGCTTACATAGGTGCTTTTCAAGCTCGGATCATTCAGACCATTAAGAAGATAGAATCTTTTAAGCATCCTTAAATAATGCTTATCAAGATCCTTTAGTTTAAGTGAACAACACTTCATCTCAAAGAATTCTTGTCTGATTTTTCTGTCTGTGAGAGCTCCATCTCCTATAAATTCTTCGTGGAGTGCACCTAGGACAGCCACCGCATTTCCCAGTTCATGAAATGTGTTTTGACCGACTGGACCTAAATTAGCATACCATTCTTTTAGGATACCAGTCATCCTACATCCAAATTCTTCAATGATTTTGTAGGATTCAGTATCTCCTTTCATGAATCTGGTGTCTAGCCAAGCTCCAAATTCAATTAGCCGAGATCTCCATTGACTTGGGTCAACATCATCAAGAGTGAACCAAGGTCCCCTAGTTGGTTTAGTGGTCCTATTTCTAGGACTTTGTATTGGGCTCTCATCAGGGGATTCATAAATAGGATCTGGTCCGGTGGATACCATCAAAACAGAGAGATCTGCTAATTGTGCTTCTGAGGAAGCTGTAGTAATGGAATCTTCGTCAGATAAGTTTGTGAGAAGATCATCTTCTGATCCAGTGTTTACAGAGGATTCTGGAGTCGCAAGTTGTTCATTTTCTTTGATCATCATCTGGGAGTAAGGGTCTTGTGAGTCTTGAAAGTAATGACCCTTTCCCGTATCATGCCTTTTGGGTGATGAAACCGGGGTAGAAGATTTGGAATCATCTTCTATTGATTTAGAGATTTTTTGTGAACTGGATTGTGACTTTCTCCATTGCCAATTTGCAGAGGCAGTAGGAATGTTGTAATGTGGTCTTTCAGGTTTAGACCATGAGACTGATGATGTTTTGAACAGAGAATGAGACACAGGTGCAGGGGGGTGCAAGAATGCGTAAGGATCTGCAGCAACTGGCTGAGGCTGTAAAGCCTTTTTCTTTTGTTCTATTTGTTCTTCCAATTGGAAGAGTTGAGCTTTTAAACTCCTGATTTCTCGATCCTTCTCGTTTAGTGCTGCACCAAATGGGATATTCTTTATTTCATTCTCCAGTCTGGAAATGTCAGTAGTTAACTTTTGGTAGTATGACTTCATCTTGGAGGAGAGATAATCTAGCTTATCTTCTGATTTGTGCATACTACTCAACATTTTTGTAACCTTGTCATCAATCCTCTTTAGCAGGGAGTTCTGTGCTTGAGCATTTTCTGTTTGCCAATTAAGAACTTCTTCTGCCTGACTTAGCACCTTTGGCTTTCCGTCAGTACCAATCTTCGAAGGAATGATGGTAGGTTTGGTAGAATACCTCGTACTGGGATTTATTTTTCTTTCCAAAGGAGGAAATTCTACATCTTTGTTTGCTTCAGAAAACATGAAGCATGGTACTGGTTTAGGTGTAGGGGGAGAAAATCTTTTCACCTCATCTGAACATCTTGATGAGGTCATGCTGTAAGAAGACTTGCTCCGTTGGTTGGGTTGTCTGTTGAAGGAAGACTTGTTTTGTGAATCTGGCCTCCTGTTAGGTCGAGGTGGTGGTTTACAAGGCGTATTCCACTCCTCATCGTCACTGTAGTCACTGTCTGATTCACTATCTTCTTCTTCACTGGTGTCTCCTGAGTGCATCCAGCAATCGCACTCAGGATCGCACATTTCTGGGGCAACATCCCAGATGAAATGACCATTGATCCTGTCTGTATAGATCTCTTTCCCATCTGCATGTACTGCAAAGATAGGAATTCTCTTTTCTTTGACGAAAGGTTCTAACATCATTGTCTGAAAAATTGGACCTGAGGCTGTCTCAGGTTGTTGAAAGATTGTTCTGACCGTTCCGTCAACGGATCTCCTGAAAGTTGCTTGATCCGTTTGGATTGGCTTGCCATGATGTTTGTGGAGATTCTCATAATTTGTCACCCATTGTAATGGGATCAAAAAAAGCCTCTAAAATCAACACCCAACACACATGCACATAAGGATCAAAAGGTCTTTTTAGGGTTGTAATGAGGCCAAGGATAGGGTAGAGGATAATATATGGGATCAATTTAGTTTCACGTCTTTAAAATTTATCTCAATGTTTGACCTTTCGTTTCCTCTATTTAAATACTTAACGGATGTGACATGTGTCATGTCACGTGTCATGCTATCATGCCACGTGACACGTGGCATGACACGTGGCATGATGACATTACACGTGGCATACAAATAGACTTGGCAAGCCTCTAAAATCAACACCCAACACACATGCACATAAGGATCAAAAGGTCTTTTTAGGGTTGTAATGAGGCCAAGGATAGGGTAGAGGATAATATATGGGATAAATAACTACAAACCAGAGGAACCAAAGGAGCAATGGAATAATTCAAGAATAAGCATGAGAAGCAAACTTAGAAACCTCTAATGACCTCTACAATAATCAATCGTCTTTCTCTTGCCTCAAACAACTTTTTTTCATTTTTTTTATTATTTTATTATTTTTTTTGAGGAAAAAGAGTGTGAACAGTACACATGAAATTTTTTAGATGAGATAAGATAAGGCAGAGAAGTGAACTGTACAACATGAGGAACCAACTAGCCAATATATATCATCCAATGAAACATACACACACCCCCATACTTATTCAAGAACTTATTCCCAAAATAATTCCAAAGCTCTAAAACTCCCTGAGGTTAAGGTAATCATGGTTTTTCACTTAAGGCTTGTAATGAGCTTCAAATAAAGTAGGGGAAATAGGCTTAATAGGGGTTATCAAAGGAGTTAGTTCAAGGTAGGCTTATTTGGCTAAAGGCTTATTAGAATCAAAATGCCTTAATCATTTCCAAACATGCATGTGGACCAAGAAATATCAAACAAAGTCAAGCCAAGGATATTGTGCAAGAAATCATGAGGCAAAACACATGAGAAAGAACAGAGAAGGGGTCAAAACCTCAACAGGGTAAATCTGTCACATTCAAATCAACCTTTCAAACCTCATAATCAACTTGTCAAGTAGAGAAAGACAGGGATTTCAATCCATAGAATATCAAGTAACTCATATCCAAGAGTGAAGTAAGTGCCTACAAACTATCAAAACCCAGAATTCAAAGAGAAACACGCAAAACTGTACATAAAACCTAAACCAAAAATAACAAATCAACCTTAAAAACATATAACCAAAACAGTTCCCTCCCACACTTAAATCACACATTGTCCCAATGTGGCACACACATAAAATCAGAGTAATCAACAAAATTGGACATGTGCGATAAAAGTAGAGAAGAAGAAAGAAAAAGAGAACTCCCTAAAATTGTATTTGAACTTGTTTTGTGGACTATCAAAAAATTTAGTTTATAAGTAATTTGTAAGTTTATAATTTGGTTTTGATTTTGGTGTAAGTGGACTAATTTCTATTTGATTTTGTTCTAAGTTTGTAATTTACTTTTGTTGAACATATATTATGTACAATATGTATGCATTTTTAATTTCATATGGTTATATTTATTTATTTGTAGCAATTGTTTGAAAAATTGGACCTGAGGCTGTCTCAGGTTGTTGAAAGATTGTTCTGACCGTTCCATCGACGGATCTTCTGAAAGTTGCTTGATCCGTTTGGATTGGCTTGCCATGATGCTTGTGGAGATTCTCATAATTTGTCACCCATTGTAATGGGATGAGCTCCTTCAGCTGTTCCCTGGAAATATTCCTGGGAACTTGGACGATCGATGGACTTTCTTCTGCCTGGTTTGCAAGAACAAATAAGGCACTATCATTACTGCTGGGTAAGGCCAAATTAACCGCATGGGTCTGTAGCCTATATATGATTTGGTAGTGGAGAGTAGCACAAACAGCATCAGTGGTCTGGGCAGCTCCGGTTATCTGGACTTGGACCTTTAGTCTCTCTGGTACAGTGGGGTCTCTTAAACTAACATTATAATTGGGAAACAATGTTAGGACGACACTTCCAGCGTGAAGTGTAGTTAAGACCGTACCAATCACAGCATTTTCATAGTGGAGATAGCTAGTATCTAACAGGGAGATCCTTGAGGAGACAGGAAGTCCTCGTCTCCCATGGAGTGTGAGCATCAACCTAATGGCCCCATAGTGAAGATGGGTGTATCCATCAGTTCTCCAGTGTCTGATGAGTTCCTTTGGGATTTCAATAGTAACATACTGTTCTTCAGAAGTGGCCATCAAAGAACATTGTTCCATCTTGGAAGATTGAACATATTCTTTTTCATGTGGACGGGTGGTTCTGACCAACTGCCTGATGGATCTAAGAGTAGATCTTTGGCGTTTGAATATATTATATGGACTTAGAAGGGGGGGCAGTGCTCTCAGAGATCTGAGCATCTTTAGGGACATATGAAAATTCAACTAGGTTTTCAATCTTTGGTGCTAGGATTCTAGAGACATGGTTAGGTAAAGATAAGGAGGTGTTTAGGAAGGCGGGTTGAGTGTCTGAAGTAGAAGTTTCCATGGTAGTGAAGTCTCTCTTCTACTCACTCTGTCCTCTAAAATAGTATTATGGCCTCAGGATTTTGAGATTGTTAGGCTCTGATACCAGTATGGCCGAGAGCCTTAGAGACAAGAAAGGTTAATATCAATTAAATTAATATATTTTTATAATTTAATTTTTATTTTTATTTTATTTTTAATAAAGACAAGAAAGGTTTCAACCCTACTAATTTATTATAAACTAAAAACATATTTAATTGTCATCAATATGTAACAAAAATTTTTTTTATCATAAATAAATTTTTAACTCTAAATTTATCTAATTTGATTTTTAATCCTCTCCAGATTCATCTTTCCATGTTGCATTCATTAGTCGCGCTATATCGACAAGAATCTAATAATACCCGTTGGAGTTTACCACTTAACCGTTTAGTAGCAATGACATAGGCGCAGGAAGAAGACAAACCACACAGGCGGCTCTCTATTATAATCGATTAGAACAATAATAATAATAATAAATGGCAAGTCCTAATTCAAACAGAGAACTAGTCAAAGTAAAAGGCAAGCCATCACACTTGAACCGAATCATCATCATCTTCTTCTCTTACGCTTAACCAGGTCAACTCAATCAATCAACAGCGTTCCAAACCCACATTCCAATGGAACCCAGATTCAGGTTTCTCCTCATCCTCGTTCTCCTCGTCCTCGTACTCGTTATCGTACCCTTGGAAGTGGAATCCGCGTGCAAGCAGGGTTGTCCAGTGGCACTGGGGTCCTACTACATGTGGAGCGGCTCCAAACTCACCTACATCTCCCAGATCATGCCCTCGGCGCTTCTCACCAAGCCCGAGGACATAGTGGCCTACAACAAGGACACAGTGCCCAACAAGGACAGCGTTCAGGCCTTCATAAGGGTCAACGTTCCCTTCCCCTGCGACTGCGTCGACCAGCAGTTCCTCGCGCACACCTTTCAGTACGACGTTCAGTCGCAGGACACCTACGATTACGTTGCGCGGACCGTCTTTGCTAACCTCACCGACGTTGCGTGGCTGAGGAGGTTCAATAGTTACGCGCCTGATAACATTCCCGACACGGGAACGCTCAATGTCACTGTTAATTGCTCGTGCGGGAACAGCGACGTTGGCGGTTATGGGTTGTTCGTCACGTACCCTCTTAGGCCTGGGGACACCCTTGGCTCTGTGGCTTCTTCTGTTGGGCTTGACTCGGGGTTGCTGCAGAGGTACAATCCTGGGGTCAATTTCAACCAAGGGACTGGACTCGTTTATATTCCTGGAAAAGGTGGCATTTATTATTATTATTATTTTTTTTTTGTGTTTCTTTATGAATTTGCTGGACGTGGGCATGATTGTATAAACTTGTCTATAATTCTATAATTACTTCCAGGAGAATGAATGAGGAAGATTAAAATGAAATAAACTTGTCGCTAAAAATAGTTTGTGCATAATGGTATGTTTAGACAAGTTTCTCCAAAAGAAAAAGTGAAATGAGAAGAAAATAATTAAAAGATTCAAATAAGCTTTTTTATAAGCTAAAATTAGCTTATACATATCTTAAAAATAAGATTTTGATGAAGTAACAGGAGAGAGTGTTAATTTTATGTAGAAACTTATTTCATTTCTCTTTTCTATTCTTCTAGAGAAGTTTACCCAAACAGGTTTTAAGCTAATTTGTGGAAGTCCTCTCCTATAGCTTCTCCAAAAAAATTATTTTTAACGTATGTTTAAGTTTTGACTCATGAAGAAGCTTATTTCATTTATTTTTTTTGCATTTTTTTTTCCGAAAAGTGCTTATGGAAAAGTTTATCTAAACAGGTAATCCCATGGTGTAAGGTTTAAAATTGTGGTCATAGTTGTGGTTTTGTTTGATACTTGAAGTTTAACGGACAAATTCAGTTGATGTGGCTGCAATAGCAGTTGCTGAGACTTCAAAAGCCTTCCCCATTCCGTGGACCATCTTTTAAAGGATAAAACTTATATGTAGTTGCTTAGGTGCTTTAAATGACATCTTGGTAATCCATGTAATAAATGTTTGTATTAAATATCAGCATAGATTACCAAAAGAAAACTCTAATTTTGATTGGAGAATAACACCAAATTATACGTACAACTTATATGCACCTATGGAATTGTATGTATGATTTGTCCTTTTTTAATCTTGTGTTTCTTTGAGTGTTTGAATGTGGAAGCTGTTTGTGTGCTAGTCAGGATGCTTTATTATATCATGTACTGATTATGTGTTACCCATGGAGTGTGGCCGCTGGATGATGTTGAAGGATTCGATAATGATGTGCTACTTGTTTACACTTGAGGAAATGATGCCTACAAATGATTCACCTAGGGTTTAGGAGCAGGCCGTGATGTTGATATTCTTTCCTTTTGCTTATCCTTGGAAGTTGAAATAAAATTAGAAGTCTTCTAACTTGCTATTTAATTAAGGCTTGTAACTTCGTTTTTGTCTGACAACTTGTATGAAGCATCTATTACTAAAATAGTAAATATTTCTGCAGGATGTTGCCTACAAGTGGATTACGTAGTTAAAATTCACTCAAGCATATGAATTCCTAACAATTAACAAACATCATATGTATAGCTCAATCTTTGAATATTTTCCCATGTACTAAAAATATTTAATATATGCCTCTAACTTTATTTTATTTTATTTTTTTTCCAGATCAAAATGGTAGCTATGTGTTTTTGTCGTCCAGGTAATGCTACTTTGTTTGCAATCTGTTTATGTAGTTGCATTACTTTTCAATCTCCAGTAAATTGACTAAAGCAATGACTTCTTTTCATTTTCTTCTGCAGTTCAGGAGGTTTGAATTTCTTCTCAGAAAATTGGTCATGCGATGTTTTTGTCTGATATTTATATAAACTTATGATCAACCTATACTAAAAGCAGAAAGGATAATGCTACTTTATCTCATATTTTTGCTTCTATTTAAGCAGGTCTTCCTGGTGGGGCTATTGCAGGAATAGCTGTTGGAGTTGTGGCAGGTCTTCTGTTATTGGGAGTTTGTCTCTATGTGGGATATTTCCGGAAGAAGAAGATACGGAAGGTGGAACTTCCACTAGATTCCAGTGCACTCTTTGCTCAAGATGGGAAGGGTATAGTTATTTCTGCTTATACTCCTTCCTATGCCTCCCTCTACCTAGTACCTAATCCTTTATATAGGGTGAATAGTAATGTGCTGAAAAGTACACCTGAATTAACAGTTCTCCTATAGTCCTATATTGTATAATATCTAATTGAAATAACCTCCTTCTCTCCCTTTAGATGATGACTATGAACCTGCATACTCCAAAAATGAAAAGTATCGATGTTGTACACTGATACTCCTTGCATACTTTTGGATACATTTTCAAAAAGTATTCAATTCCTTCCAACACCTTCCTCTACCTGGTACCTAATCCTTTAGATAGAGTGAATAATACAGTGCTGAAAATTACCCCTGAATTAACAGTTGTCCAATTGTCCTATGGCATATAAGATCTAATTGAAATAACCTCATTTTCCCTTTAGCTGTAGATTACATGTCTCAGTTCCAATAAAATCCAGGTAGAAAAGTTAACTGTTTGTTGTCATACTAACATCGCTTGGAACATGCAGGGTTTAATTTATATATGTTGGATCAATGTTGTTGATCTTGTTACTATAGAAAATAGTGTGAAACATACAGAAAAGTTAGGGTAAGAAAAAGCTTGGATTTTTTATTCTATTTAATGAGCTTATTTGCATCCATATAAATGAGTTGTTTGCTATACTTGTTCTGAATGTTTTATTTTAAATATCAAAACAAATACCATGATCCCTTTGCTCTTGACTTGCGCAACAATATCAACAACAACCTTGCCTAATCTGTTTAGAAGGGGTCAATTACATTGAACAAATGATGACATCATGCTTTACCAAATTTCAATTTTAAGAAAATCCTTGTAGATAAATCTTGTTTAATGATTCTCCTATAAATTTCTTCGGATTTCCTCTCAGTTTTAGTTGGGCAATCTTCCTTTTGAATGACTTTTCCGGCTAGATCCTCTTATAGTTTTACCCCTGACATGGGTGATTACATCTTGGAGTCTATAACATTCTTCTCAATAGGTGCTACTCTGATTTTCTCCCAAGTACATTTGTTCCTAATCTCTTCTTTTCTTGCTCCAATCATCCAGTGCATCAAACTTATCTCTGCTATTCCTACCTTTTTACTCTTGTTGGAACCCTGTCCAACATTCAGTGGCTCTTGCTCTTGCATGTTCTAAAATATAAAAGTAAATGATTTGGTGCTTCATTTTTCAGATGAAACCTCTCGTAGTAGTGCAAATGAAACTTCCGGACCTGGTGGTCCTGCTGCCATCACAGGCATAACAGTGGACAAATCGGTGGAGTTCACATATGAGGAGCTGGCAACTGCCACAGATAACTTTAGCTTGGCTAATAAAATTGGTCAAGGTGGTTTTGGGTCTGTCTATTATGCAGAGCTGAGGGGAGAGGTTAGTAATCACATGTATAACTTACTATTATTGAAAGCTTTTCTAACAAAAGTTTCATTTTGTTATTTCTTTAATGAGTTTGTCATTATTGATTTATCAATATATTTTTTTTTTTTACTGATTGTCACTTTGTCAGTTGAATGAAGAAAAACTGAAATAGAAGATTATAGAATAACTTTATAGATACCATGTGACAATCTATCTAACATGGTAAGCTATTATACAATATAATTGAAACATTGAATGAAAATAAAAGAGGACGGGTTGAAAACCTTTATAATTAATGATTGATCAAAATGGGATCAGTATATTTTCTTGCCTAATTGGGACTGAAGATGGCGATATACTGTCTCTGATACTATCACTAAATGTCATTCTTCTAAATGTCATTACTTGGTTGTTCGAGATGCATGGTTTTCTTGTTGATATCCTTTCTTGTGAGGAAGGACTGACAAATACTTTAAATGATTTTACAATGATTTATTAGGAGACTTGAACAACTAAACTGGATAAGAGGAAGTGAAGGAAACACAATTTCATGAATAGTTATCCTATCATTTTCTCTGTTTTATATACTTTCTTTCTTTGAAGTTTAAATTATTGCATGATATTTAACATGTATTTCCTTTATTTTGAATTGCAGCATGATGCATTTCAGTCATTGAAAAAAGCTATATTCGTTCATTACATGATGCTGTATATTATAATGCTACATGATAGATCAAAGTGTTTGTTCATAAGAGTCATTCATCTTGTTCCTTTTAGAACCTATATGCTCATTATATAAGCCAATAACTTTTGTCCACGCAGAAAGCTGCAATCAAGAAGATGGACATGCAAGCATCAAAAGAATTTCTTGCTGAATTGAAAGTTTTGACACGTGTTCATCATCTTAACCTGGTACTAATCATTTAAAACTTTAAGCATTTTTAAGTATTACTACTGTGTTCCTGTTGGATTACATACCAGCAGGTGGAGAGTTATTCTAAGAGAATTTTTAGGGATTTCAATGATGGATCTAGCATTAACTTGGGCATAGACTTAGGGTTTGAATTTAGTCATACAGCGATTAGAGTAGCATCACGAATTTATGAAATTTGGAAATAGTCGATTACTGTTTGAATTTAGTCATATTGCTTCAATTTGTTATTGTATTCATCTAGGGAACTGATTTAGATACCATGCATGTTCAATTTGATTTCATTTTCAATTATTTGGGCTTAGCCTTAAACTTTATTTTTCTTTTATGATATTCTGTCATAATAATAATTTAAGGAGGTTTTATGTTCTTAATAAAAGTTTTTAACAGTAATTCTCTCAGGAATCCAGATTATCATGCCTCTACTTATTGACTTTTTCCTTCTCCCTTATCTTTACCTTTCTTTTAAAGCTTTCCTCTGTTATTACAAGTATTCTATTTCTGTGAGCATCTCTTTATCATGTTAATATTCAATTTTAATTATGAATTTAATTTGATACTCTTTGCATGCTTCCATTAGCTGAAAAAATTGCTTTGTAGGTTTGAATCTCAAACTTGAATCACATAATGAGTGCTGAATATTAGTTAATACTTATAAAGGCACTACTAGACTTGAATATCAGTTAATACTTATCTTGCAAAGCTACTATATTGATTAAGGATTCAACAAGCTCTATGATAGATACTCATACTGGTTCAGAATTAGGGAAATTAGCAAACCTTTATTTCAGATGAGTACCGTCTGACAAGTATCAATGTGATTGTGAATTTACAATAGAAATGAATCCCCTATTTGTCACAGGTCACCAAACCAAAAACTACAAGTAGGGATGATTAATTCAAGTTTGGGAATTTGAGGGGAAATACTTTGCTCTTTTATAGAAAGATTTTATGCAAAATGGCAACTGATTAAAATCAGAGTAAATTTACTTTCCCTTATATGGTTGGAAGAGCAACAATGAGAGGAAAATGGGTTTTATTTCAATATCTATATAAACATACAGTGGAACGAATGGCGGAATAACTAATATCTTCAGGTACCTGATAACAGTTATAGGAATATATATTATTAAGAACTGGCAGTGTCATAGGGTTGGACATATAGGAATCTTCAGGTATCCGATTAACAGTTAGTTGACTACACAATGGAGACAAGCTTCACTGGGTATCTATTCAAACTTTGATGCGTAAATATATAGAAAATAGTTAGAAATCCCCTCAAGTGCCATTGTTCAACAAGGGTTTTGTTTTCAAAGAAATAAAATAACATAAAGTCACACAAAGCATAAAGAATAAAAAGTATATATAACTGGGTACATATACAAAGTGTATAACTGGGTATCTCAAAAGGAAACAAATCATAGCCTACAGTTTGGCTTCCCACAACAAAAAATTAAAAGAAAACAAATATATAAAATAACATAAACTTGACAAGTAAAAGAAATGACATAAGCATTCCTTGGTGATGCTCCAGACTTCTTCGTGGCCTGCTTGACTGGCCATCTCATCATCCTGCTCGTTAATATGCTGCCCAACAGAAATTAATCACAAACACTGAGAAAGGAGGAGTGAGATTGTATAATAATGCATGAAGCAGGAGATTAAAACAATAGGTACATCAGTCATTGCACATTAGTCACACCCAATATACCAATCAATAGCAACCATCATATTCAAAGAGATGGGTTAGTACCCTATATGAATGCAATGAGTGAATGTGCCAGCCAATCAGTTTAATTTTTTTATTATATCATATGCATGCATGGGGTACTCTTATCCTCATTTTTGGCACTATACATCTAATTACTAGGTCTTTTACACTTCATACAAAGCATTTCCTCATCCCAGTGGGGTCAACATTCAGTCAATGTTATCGACCTCAGTGGAAAACCTCAAAATAATCAAAAACACCTAGTACGAGACGTTTTTATAAATTGAAGGTTCAAATCTAACCCCCTTATTCCGCACCTGCTGAGGGGGATCTCTTTTAAAACAATGTCATGATGTATGCCCTTTTAACTGTCTCTCTCTGGCATTATTACATGAGTTGGACCATGGAACAATAAAACTTTTCAAGCCCTTTTCTTGAAATCATAATTTTTCTTATTTTTAATATTCTTTTATCAACAAAATCTTGATTGAGAATTCCTCTAAATAATGAAACTTGAAGACTTTTAGTGAGAAAAATTGAGATATTATGTACATTAAACTATGGACTTTAGATGCAGAAATATATAGATACACAAAATTATAGTAATATAGTTCTTAGGTTCACTTTTTTACTTAAACCATAAAAGAACCATTGACTCTTATAATGCCTTAACTTTCTCAAATAAGTGTATTGAATGAGAGAAATCTTAAAAATAGGAAAGTCAACATATTGAGCTAAAACTAAACAGGGGCAATCTCATCTCATCAAGGAAATCATGTGATTTTTCTCAAATTTTTATAAACACCATTGATGTGTCAAAATTAGTTCCCATTTCATCTCAAAACAGGATGTTTTCAAAAATCGGTCCAGATTCATACTCATCTTTATAAGTTCATAAGTAAGTCTCAACTCATGCAAAATAGGTGCTTCCAAAACCATTAGAACCATCACAAAGTCTACTTTCAAACAAAAGTGCCAAAGAAATATAATCGTTGTTATAGCAGTACAGTTTGCATAAAAAACATGGAGCATGTCTAACTCGCAGGGGACAATACCAAACTCATCAAAAATCACACACATCCAAATCATATGAGACCAATTGTGTTAGGATCTTCTTTCTGATGTAAAAAAAATCGCACCTACCAAGTAAAATGCCACACAAAAGGGGAAAGGAATTCTGGAAATGCTTCTTTATTTTTGATAGAAAGAAAATTATAGCCCAAGAACCCATTATAGCCCAAGAACCCAGATATATGAGTATACCTCCAGAGGATCTTTCTCCTTTTACTCTGGAAATTGCCCGTTAAACAATATATTCAATGTCTACCTCTTTTACTTAATCGAGGACAGGAGTTAAGTTACAGTTATCCAAATAACAACCAACAAACTCTCCTATCCTTCTAATAGTTTGTTACCACTTTGAACCTTTCCTTTTCCTATGATAAACTAGCACACACTTTCCTCCTGTAGATTGTTGCTTGTACTCGGTCATCAGTCCTAAAAAGTACACTCTCCCTAGTCCAGCTGTTAAGAGACTTCTGTTTCCTTGAAGAACATTTCAGACAAAACAGAGGGTGTATCTATATTTTGTTTATATGGTGTCAATGGATTGGTTTTGGAATCCAAAAATTCAATTAAAGCTTGTATGCACAAGATCGAAATACCATCTTACAATGCTTAACAGTTTTCTATCTTTACAATAAAGTTTTTAAGCTTCCAGCTTTTGACATACATTTCTGGGGGAGTGGGAGAACTTCTGTTACACGCTTGGTTACTCCATTTATCTGTTATATGTTTGTAATACACATAGACACTTCATGATTCATTATGCATAAATTCTTACATCTTGTTTTGGGAATGGCTTAAACTCTTTACACTATGCAGGTGCGATTGATCGGATACAGTATTGAGGGTTCTCTTTTCCTTGTCTATGAATACATTGAGAATGGAAACTTAAGTCAACATCTGCGTGGTGCAGGTTATATTGATCCATAGTTTAGTTCTTATTTACCTATGATGTGTTGTAATTGTCCTGAGTTGACAGTGAAGTGATAATGGTGCCAGGTAGTAGAGAACCTCTGCCATGGGCTACTCGGGTGCAGATTGCTTTGGATTCTGCCAGAGGTCTTGAATATATTCACGAGTATACAGTACCTGTGTATATTCATCGTGACATAAAGTCAGCAAATATATTAATAGACAAAAACTTCCGGGGGAAGGTTGAATATGTTTTGAGGTCTTATCTTTAGTTTTATTATTTGAATCACTATGGGAGCTTATAAAATGCTCATATACGCAGGTTGCTGATTTTGGATTGACCAAACTGACAGAAGTTGGAAGCTCATCACTTCCCACTGGTCGCTTAGTTGGAACATTTGGATACATGCCACCAGAGTATGATAACTTGTTCTTTAAATATAAGAGGGTGCTATTCATATTGAACATTTAACAAAGTTTACTTTTCAAGTTTGCGTGTCATTTTTAATGCATCCATTGCAGTTGGCGACTATGTTATTGGCATTCCCTAAATTGAAAACATGATCTCCTGTCACTGATTTTGCCACAAATCATAAACATGCACAAGTTGTTCTGGAAACTTCCACTGGATAATACACCAGAACACAGTTCAACATAATCTTCAATAAGATGAATTAATGTCTATGTATTTCTAGCTGTTCCTCTGTCTGGAATTTGGTCAATGCATTTTGTACCAAAGACAAGCATTTAAAAGGACGACAAGACCCTCTTTTTAAGTAAAATGAAATTAAACTGAAATCTTGAAGTTGATTTTTGGTGCATATCATATAGTTACTGGTCAAGTCTCTTGGCTTATTCTTTTAAGCATTGAGTTTTAGATTTAAGCAATTGCACATAGTTATATTTGATTATGTTCTATTATATATAAGTTATATATCTAAGATTTGCTTGCATTGGAATTCAGTTAAATCAGAAGGTCGCTTCTTTATGCATGTAGATTTGTTTAATGATTATCATGGCTTTGTCTGTGAAGGTATGCTCAATACGGAGATGTTTCTCCCAAAGTAGATGTGTATGCTTTTGGAGTTGTTCTTTATGAACTTATTTCAGCTAAGGAAGCAATTGTCAAGACGAGCGAATCTGAAGCTGACTCAAAAGGCCTCGTAGCTTTGGTCAATCTTTATTTCTCTACTCAATAATTTTCATTGTTGTAGTCATTGTTAATATTTTCAAGTCAACCGTCTTCATGCTTATTCATCAGTCTAAACTATGATATTAAATTTCTTAAATTTTATTATGTAATACAGTTTGATGGAGTTCTTAGTCAGCCGGATCCTACGGAAGATCTCTGCAAACTAGTTGATCCAAGGCTTGGGGATAACTACCCAATTGATTCAGTCCGCAAGGTGAGAACATTTGTTAGACTCAACCCTTTGAACATTTGTTTTTATGATTTCAACTTTAGTCAACCTATGCATGGTCACTGTTTTGGCTTGCAGATGGCACAACTAGGTAAAGCATGTACACAAGACAATCCCCAACTCCGTCCAAGTATGAGATCTATTGTGGTAGCACTTATGACACTTTCTTCAACTACAGATGATTGGGATGTTGGTTCCTTCTATGAAAACCAAAATCTTGTGAATCTTATGTCAGGAAGATAAGATGATATTGGATCTCAATTGTTTTGCATTTACAATCGTATATTTTTCACCAATTTTAGGCAACACGACAATTGTTGAAGCAAATGATGTGTGTAAAATGGATGTAGTTATGAGGAATTTGTACATTTTTACTAGTCAGGACTCAGTATAACGAGTGGAGGTTTTAACAATTTTATGATAAGTCACAAATCACAACCATTGTACACAGTTAGTGTCTGAGAGATGCATCTTTTTTCTGCCAAGGTACATTTATCCTTGTAAATTTGTATAATAAATTCTATTTGAGGCCTACTTTATTATTGGTAATGGGTTATGGGCCTTATCAATGTAGATGAAGTATTTCTAATTACATAATACTTATTTCATTATTGATCGCAGTTGTACAGAAATTTAAATCTAATTTGATAAAGTTGAAGGACATCAATCGGAATTAAATACAGTACCCGAGTCTTGTTTGATGTTCTAGAATTAAATCCTAGTATCCTCTCAATATCCTGTCCAACATAAAGTATCCTCTACTCTAACCTTACCTTGAAACAGAATATTTCTGTTACAAAATTATTTCAAATTATTTTATGGTTTAATGGTGATATATTTGTTTACCTTTAAATTTCAATCGCTATGATCATATTTAATTAAATTTTAGATCATATCACGAGAGAGGATATTTATTTATTAAGTGTTTATTAAATTTTTTAGGAAGATTTTTTTCATGTTTAACTAGAAACACTCATTAATTATATAAAAAAAAATGATATGATTATTAAAGTTGTTATAAAACGTCTAGAAATAGAAGAGTTGGCAGAGTTAAAGTTGTTGACAAAGAGCAATATTGATTTTGCTCTAAAATTCCAATATTTAAGGAAACTTTTTCATATATATATATATAATTGGCAACTAACTTAAGTCAATAAAGTTATATTATTCTTACATATACTTTTTGTAATAACTTTATAAATTGATTCAAAATAATTTCCAGAGAGAAAACATGACTTTCTAAAAGAAATAATCGAGGACTACTTGCACTTTACCCCCTCGTGTGAGAAAGTGAGTAGTTATTCTTTATGTTTTGTCACTCTAGAACTTCACTCTCAGCTCACGAAGTTTCCATCAGATGAAAAGGATGTGCAAAATGTAGAGAAGAAATTTAGTAGTTGGTCAATAAATTACGATTGGTCACAGTCAAGACATTGCATTCGGTAAATTGTTATCTACGAAAAGGTCTTTGTCTACTCAAGTAATAAAGCTAGCATGGTTCTGAGTGCTGATATTTTTATTAACTGACCATTTCAAATCACTCATAATTTTATGGTAAGATGGATGTTATATCCTGAATTTTTTCAATTTCAAAATTATATATATATATATATATATATATAACAAAAAGGAGAATATAAGCATTTGGCTAGAAGGAACGCTTTAAATAGAGTCATATAATTTTTGAAGTGAGATAATGCTAACACAAAGGAATTAAATCAAATAAATGAATGAATAAATATATGATTATAATATTAAGTTATTTTTAAAATTTTTATATATAATATATTTATATTAAGTTAATTATTTATATTTTAGAGTCAAATATTAATAAGTATTGTATTTCCTTTTTTATTTCAGCATCTAGCAAGATATGAATTCACGTAAAATCAAAGTTAATTAAGCAACTAATATTTTCTTTAAAAACTTTTGGTGCGATTATGAATTGTTCACTTTAATTTTTTAACATAAATCTACATTAAAAAAAATATAAAATACAAGGGAAACATAATTCAATTCCAAACTCTAATTAATAGAAACAAAATTTTTTTAACTATCTAAGTAACCTTTAGAGAAGGACACTTATTTCCAGGAGTACAGCAATGAGATACAGCTTTTAAGAAGTTGGATTGACAGTGCTTGGTCTATTGTCAGCTTATAAGATACACTTATTTTTTCATAACTGATTTTCATATGGACTGACAGTTTTTTATTTTATATTTTGTATCCTTTTATTTATTAGATGAAAACTATAATAAATAATAGTAAATGGATAAAAATATGAAACAAATAGTATTGTATAATATTGGTATGTTTATTATTTAATAATGATTTTCATACAATAACTAATATAAAAATAAAAAATTAATTATCACATAATGGAATCAACTTATTCACATTTTTTTTAAAAAAAATTAAAAGTATAAGAGTATGAAAGTTTTCTTAAGAAACTTCTATGTCTACGAATAAATTTTTTAATCATATAACAAATATTGGAAAAAAATATATTTTCTACCAATATATTTTTAAAAATAAGATAAAATAATATGAGATAAGTCCATTTTTAGATTTTTTTTTCACATCAGTATCATATGAATAATTCATATCAATATGAACCAACTTGATAATATTTTATTGGTCACTACATTATAAATAACTAAATTTATATAAATTTAAAATTTGAAAAATTAAAATATTTCGTCATATATGAATTAGAATAACTATCTTATATAATTTATTTTTAAGTAGGGGTGACGAAATAAATCAATTCACCCTACATAAAAATATAATATAGAAATTATAACATGTCACATGGATTGGTAGATTGTTCAGCTTGTTTAACAATTAAAAATAATTTTTATTTATTTATATATAATATTTATTAAGAAATAAAATATATTAATTTTAAAATAATAATTTATTTAAATACAGTAAAATGAATAACTAAAATCATAAAAAAATCAATGTGAATATTTACATTTAGTTAACATGTATATATAATTATTAATAAATTATATTTTTAAGTTCTCTATTTAATTTTAAGATTCAATTTAATATCACAAATTTTAAATTATTTAATTTGATCTTCTAATTTTTTAAAATATTTAATTTTATTCAAAAATAAAATCATGAATTTGGTATTTATAACACTAAAAAATCTTTCAAAATCCCTTTAATACAACCATCCTTTAAAATCCTTATATTTTTGAATAACAATAATGAATTACTTTTAAGTTGTAAAAAGTCTCAAATGAATACTAATGAATTTTAATAGACTTTTTAAATAATCTTAAAAGTCTAGATTGAATACCACTTAATTATTTTTAAGTGACTATTTTTAAGTGACATAAGATCATGATTAAATACTAATGAACTTTTTTACTTTAAAAAATATCTTTTAAAATCCTATGAAATCCTAAACTAATATACTATAATAAATCTCTTATACATTCTTAATTTAGTACTTAATTTGATCTAATGAACGAATAATACATTCCTAACTCAGTCTTAGTATGAAGACCAAATTAAGGATTTCCTACGTGTATATATATTGTTTTGGAACTTAAAGGTCTCTAAATTAAAATCGTCATGTGAATTCGAGTGATAAAAAAAATTATTTAAGAAAAAGTGTGGAATTAATAAATGGAAATATTTTATAAGTTGTGACAGTTGCATTGGGTTTGGGTGTGTTGTGAATCTGAATCACATAAATCATAATTGCCGCCCACTGCATTGCATTTGTTTCAGATATATTCATTGCATTTGCATCGTATATATAATTAAAAGATAATAAATACCAAAAAAGAATTTTACCTTTTAATATCAAGCAATAAAAGACCAATAGATTCACTAGTTCCCGTTATAAAAAGATACTGATCCCTAGTTACAAGTATTCCCTTGGGTTTTTAATTCAATATAAACAAAAAATAATGAATAAGTTTTTGGAAGTGGAGAATATACCTATAGCAAGTTGATTTGATAACAGAAGCAACATGATCACCATAAAGCATCTAACAATAAAAATAACTGGCAATAAAATAAAACAAATCAAAATGAAGGTTGATTGAGTTTTAACATTGTTACTTTTAAGCATGACCAATAATGGGGATTGACGGTTTGATGCTTGTGTGTGTGCTTGTGAATGTGTGAATCACACTGACACGAAACCGGCACGGACACCCTGACATAGCTAAAGTCTAAAACATACAAATTACTATATACTAGACTGCCAGTTTACATAAAAATAAATAAAATAAAATAAAATAAATAAAAATAACAAACAACTTGCTAAGATCTTTAAAAAGACTCGCAAAAAAAAAAAAACAATATTTACAAAAGCAAAATAAAAAATTTATTTAATACAATTCTATTTTTAAATTAAAAAGATTGATAAAAGAAAAGGTGTCAAAGCCAAAAAAAACAAAAAAGAACAAAAAAAACTGCAAAAATGTGTCTAACACACGTCTAAGACGTGTCGGCTGTGTTGGTGTCAAAGGAGTGTTGGATACCCCGACACCTCTATTGCTAGCCGTGTCGGTACTTACTAGTGTGATTGTCACTGATATCGAGGATCTGGTTCTTAGAAAATTATAGGAAAAATTTATTTTAAACACCAAATACCTAAATTAAGGTCTTCAAATCAGAATCCATCAAGAAAATTTGAGGGGCATCAAAGAACTTTATAAGTCATGCACAAATTTGCTGGGAAAAGAAAAGGACAAAACAATTTTCAACACCTCTATACTAAGTAATGTAAGTTGCTGTCCACAGCCAACACTCGCAGGGTCTGGAAATCCAATTTGACTTAGAGGGGTAAAAGTTGATTTTCCATCAGGACCTGATATCTGAGAAATATCTTGTGAGTCATCTAGGCATGTTTTCACTCTTTCTGTTTGTCCTTTTCCAGTGCATGGAGGCTTCTTTTCTGTATGAGCATCTTGATACAGCTTAGTCATAAGAGGTTCAGTCTCAGTAGCACATTTATGTACACCCTTGTCCTCTGCATCTATTTCTTAATGAATATGATCAGGAATATGCCCAGATGAAATAAGATTAGTATGACCAGATCCAGGTATTAACTTGTCACAATTGTTAGATGTACAAGGATGTTTTTGTTAGTCTTATTTGTATGTTTTAGTTTCGTATCTTTAGCTTTATGCATTATTATTTTATTTTCTAAAGCTGCAAAAGCTTGTAAAACAAACTTATTTAACTATAAAATTCAGAGCAGTGTCTTCCTGAACAAGACATGAACCCCATTCTTCACCTTTAGGTCTATCTGTTCTTACTAACAATAATCAACTGGCTGAAGAAAAACCAACATTTTGCCAAATGATTTGCTAACAAGTAACTTGTACACCAATTATGGCTGTGTTTTTCTTTAGTGAATTTCCTAGAGTAAGTAATATGGGCAAAAATAAATCAATGATCGCGGTTTAGTAGATACCTCTTTCATCACAACATAGCCATCTATGCACAGTAACCGCAGAAGGAGGCAAAATATTAGGTGTTAATAGGTAGAGGTGAGAGCCATCATTTTGATAGTGAGTGATGATACCCTTCATCCCATTAGATGTAAGTGTTTTAATTGGACCATACTTGTTGCAAGTTTCCACCTCTTTCA